CAACCTCTGGTTGGCTACACAATCATAACATGAGAACATTAAAACCAGGTCATTCTGGTGGTTCTTCAGTTCTAGAGAAGCTTCAGACCGGCCACCTGAAGCACGCCTCTTTAACCCACCAAAGATTTTGACACGTCGTCAAAATTTCTTTGCACCTGCAAACCTGATAAAGCAAACAGTTCCTGCAGAACAAGCTGATATTGACTAGACCCTTTATGAGTCTCAGACGCGTGGTTCCATCCGTCTGTCATGACCCGAGACATCTCTGGACTGAAGGGTCTGTGACACGGTATTCTACAGCCCTCCGGTGCCAGCTGTCATCCGACCTGTCTGACCTTCGGATCCACCAAGAGGGTCTCTGAAAACGGGTAATGTGGACACACAGATGGCGTCTGATGTGATTTTTGATAATAATCAACTCATAGCTTAATGCAAACCAAATTATTTTACATCCAGAACACAGCTCTCCTATATACGGAAGTTCTGACTAACATCGCATTCACACATAGGTTCATACATCACATCTAGTTTCATCCATCACAGTAAATGCTTAGTTAATTTGCCATGTTTTAATTGTTGGTAAAATAAATTCTTACTTTTATAAACCTGATTGTTTTCTGAATCAACACGAAGTGTGTACAATCCCCTAATAAATAAAGAATCCTAGAATCTTCTGATTAAAGCACAATAAAGACCAGGCAGGGTGATATTCTACAGTATGTTTAGATAGAGTATTACAGCTTATTGGTCATAAGTGGAGGTAAAATATTTACTGAGCTCTTAAAGCACTTAATTTACCAAACCCTACAGTTTAAACTCAAAAAGAGATGTTATTAATTGAGACTCCTGAATAGCCTTTATGGTGAATTGTGGGGTGGTCTTTCAAGAGGTCGTAAAAATTTCTTTGAGCTAGATGTAATTCCATCTCTAAGGTGGACTTTGTTGTAAGCAGGCTGAATTATCAGAAACATATTTAGGAAGTGATGATTTTCTACTTCTGCCAGAACAGTTATTGATATAAATCTGTTGGTTTGATAGCTACATAGTGTTCGCCTCGGCCAACAGCCACAGTGGACATCCTCACGTATTTCTCATTTCCTTGTGAAGAGCAAGATTCATCAATTAGATTCCCGCCAACAAGAGGGGCCACTGTTACCATAGAAACATAGTTGGTTGGTTAGCAACCCGAACCACCACATCTCTCTTCATCTTGGTTTTACTGTCAGACTAGATGTCATTTTTATCTAAGGAAATTTAATCTCTGTGAAGCCTTCCTTTTTATTTTTATTATTGCTTTCAAATTTTCAAAAGAGGGTTTAAAAATATTCAAAATCCAGTTATTTCTCTTGGAGGATTCATTTTTTTTCCAAGATATTAGTTTGTGTTTCCCATACATGTTCTCTCATGTGCCAAATAGCAGCAGACATTTTATTCAATTTACATAAATGTGGGCACAGTTGTAGTGTAGGTAAGTGTGAATTTAATTGGACGTGTGAGTCAGAGATGCTTACATGTACTTTGGAGCCTTCTGGAAGTGTCTGCAGTGACAAAGAACCTGCGATAGGATTTGCCCACATGCTTATTTCAGTGATATTTAAGCTCCCACTACATGCCCTTTTCCTCTAGCACCCAAGCAGGGTTCCATAAAGTTGTGTTGTTTGACGTGAAACCAGAAACGGCACTGGTGTTGGAGTAGAAATCTTGGTAAAGCTGTTTTTATGTTGTTGGAAAATGAATCTAGGATTGAAAAATGCCCTTTTGCAAAAACAGTTTTATCCTCAGACAGTGTGCTTGGTCTAAATCTGGATCCTCATTTAAAAAAACTTTTTTGAACAAGGTTTATTTTTATTTATTTATTTTTTTAAAGATGTACATTTAAAGAACACACAACATAAAACAAACCCACCCATCCCCTCCTGGCAATACTGGATCACATACAAAAAACAAACATAAACATGACTCAGATTTCAGGCTGATGACAAATCATACGAAACTAAAGAAACAGCCACAAAAAGTTGTTGCCTGGAACACTTTCAAAATAAATTAATGCCAACCATGTATTGAAAAACTTCTCAACCGAGCCCAGTAAGAAGATGTCTGATCTTCTCCAAATGAATATGAGTCATAGTTTTCTTCACCCAGTGGCCGTAAGTAGACAGACGGATGGCCTGTTAATGGCTTGTATATGTATAGCTTCTTCTTATTAGGGTTCCGCAACCCCCCAAAGCACTTTACAACGCAAGTAGCTACAGCTACAAGCAAAGCAATGCTGCTGAACACAGGCGCCACCTGTCTCCGACCACCACCAGCAGCCAAGGCGGGTTAAGTGTCTTGCCCAAGGACACAACAGCAGCTACTGCTGCCCAGATGAGAGTCCTTCCATTTGGACAGACTCATCTGGTCAACAAAGCACAAAAAGCAATCATGTTTAACTGGCATTCATCAAAAGAGGAATTCACTGTGATCACACCAAATAACTGGGTCAAAGGACTTGGGTGCACTGTGGTCCCACGTATTTTGGAAACGTCATCGAAAATAGATGACCAATATCCATGCAAGTTGAGCAAGTCCAGAAAATGTTGTTTTAAATAATGTTACTGAAAAAAATCTTTTGGCTTTGTTATTAAGTAAGATGTGTACTCTTTCCTTTGTCTGTGTGTGCCTAGGACTTGTAGGAAGTGCAGAGGGGATCGAGCTTTGTGGTAGTGGCACCTAAACTATGGAACAAACTACTTCTGTGCATTACAGGCACCCTCTATTTATGCTTTTAAACCACCCTTAAAGGTCCCTCTTACATTTTAGTACTTTGAACATCTTAGTTTTATGTAAAGCACCCTATAAATAAAGTTGAGTTTTCACGACAGCTTTTTCTTTTATGACCTGTGTACTCTTGCCATATTCAAGACAGATAAGCGAAGACAGACATATACTCCATTGATCCCATTAAACACAGTTTTAGTTCCAGCTAGTGTTGAGACGTTTGCAGATTTGTTTCACTAAAGGAGGTTTTCACCCCAAAAGCAGCAAAGCTGATGCTGATGTCTGAAGCCTATTAATTTGTGCGGCATGTTGCAAAGCCAGGTGAAGCTACAATTGTGTGGTTGTCATGCGAAACTGCTTCTCACCATGCAGAAAGAAGACTTACGCTTTAGAAAAAAACAGCTCCTACACCGGTCTGACCTTCAGACCTCACATTCACACAGACTTGCCATGCCTCCTTTTCTTTTGATCTTTTCCCGAGCAAAGATAGAATGAGGGGAATTCTTTATCAAGCAGACAATTTCAAAAACAGGACAGCATAGCGACATTTCTATTTTCATCTAAAACAAATCATTTGCTTAGATAAATATAAACTCCTCATCTTCTGAAACAATTTCTCTGTTAATCTGATGTAGAAGACAGAGCTCACTGCAGGCTTTATTAGGGTTGGGCATCGGTTGATTTTGAACGATTCCAATTCCAGTTCCAATTCCTTGTTTCGATTCCAGTTCCTATCGATTCCCAATTCTGATTCTTTCAAGACATGACATGTTTTACATGAGCCAGCTAACCACAGGTCCTACTTGATGAAATAATCTTAACTTCAACATGAGTTTTTAATTCTATGAGCAATAACATCACCTTCATTTAGACAAAAACATGTTTTGGAGACAAAAAGAAAAAGACTTGCAGTACAACCAGTGTGTTTGTTTCTGACCACAACCAAAGTCTGGAAGAAGCCTCTGTGATGAGAGGCTAAATGTCTCCAACATATCCAGGAACGTCCAGCTGTTTTCAGCTAAAACTCTCAGGATGATCATGTCCAGGATGACTGAGAACTACACCTCCATGCTGCAGCAGCATTCAGTCAGAACAGAAACTTAAATGTAGCTGCTGTCAGTAACAATCTAACAGATTTTAAACATTAAAACTCTCAATAGAAATAGTTCAGAAAGGAAATTTAATTTTTCACAACTTTGTGTGTGATTTCAATTCAATTCAGTTCAATTCAATTCAAAAATACTTTATTAATCCCAGAGGGAAATTGATTGCTGGAGTAGCTCATTTATTTTTATAATATAATTTATTATTATTATTATTATTATTATTATTATTATTATTATTATTATTATTATTATTATTTATTGTGGCAGAAGCTGGTGTAGTCCACCACAAAGAAGCTGCTCTAGCATGATGACTTTAATTATTCTACAGGTTATTGTTCAGCCTTCTGACGCTTATGCTCACACACACACACACACACACACACACACACACACACACACACACACACACACACACACACACACACACACACACACACACACACACACACACACACGAGTGTTGGTGAGCGGCTGCGTCTGACTGCTGATGCTCCGTGTGTGTTTTTATTTCTGCAGTGAGACAAACTCACCTCACACCGTCCAGAGTTTGTTCTTTAAAGCTTCTATTAAATCCACCGTGTTGACGTCTTTTAACAAGTTTCCTCTACGCTGCAGGAGTTAAAGTTTACATCAGGAGTAAGAGTTTGGCAGATGTGTTTGTTTATATCTGGCCACTGCGTGCCGGGTGGGGGGAGGAGAGACTCGGTGCTGCACACAGACAGCTGGTGTGATCAGCTCTGAAAAGCGTTGATCACAATTTGTAGATCACTTTTATTTTTCGCGGAGATCGGCCACAGATTCATCTTCCGGTCGGCATTCTAGGAATCGAAAATAGGAATTGAATTAAAAAACTTTGAACGATTCCGTAAAAAATGAACAGTTTGAACCGGTTCCAATCGATGCTCGATGCCCAACCCTAGTAACGAGATCAGTGCTAATCGCTTATTTTCATCCAAATTGCTGTTATTTTGTGCAACATGTTTAACTGACTAGCAACAAAATGTTGTGCATGCATATCCTGCTGTTTTTGTCTAAATACATTCTTCCTTTACAAGTGTTTGAATTGTTTTACAATAAAATCTGCATGTTTTTTCTATAAAATCTCTAATTGCATCTGTTTATTCTCTCTTTTAGAGCCACCCAGGTTCCACTTTGACAAACCTGAGAACTACATCAGCATGTACCACCAGGAAGGAAGTGATACACTCTACGTGGGGGGTCAGGCCATGATCTACGTGATGAATTTTACAGACAGAGGGGTGGACTACCTGCAGGTACCAACAGGCCTAAAAGAGCAAGTTTAGAAAGGGAAAGCCACACAGATCTACGTCATTGTATAGGCTTTAATGGACTCACCCATCTTGGCTCGCGACGAGGAAGACTGTGTGGATTTCTGCAGCCAGGAGAGAGCAGAGTTCATCTTGGCTAGTAGAAGCTAATCGTTAGCATTAGCAATTTCACAACACGGCAAAACTCCTTCTGGCCTGAGTCATTTGTGGAGATGAAATGTCAATGTTGCAGAGCAAACAGGAGCAGTGGAAGAGTTATGTTGCTGTTAGCCAGTCAGAAACAAGATGCCCAAATATGAGTATTAACGAATAAAACTCCAAATTCAGCTGTTTTCTGCCCCAATTTCCTCTAAATAACTTCTACTTTTGGAAACACGAGCGCCAGAGCGATTTTCCCACTGAGAGTGACTCACAAGTGATTCGATTATACCTGAAACCACTGCAGACAAAAAAAATAGTTAAAATGTTTTAAAGCTCACCTGCATCGTGATAACGTAATGAGGTGGAATAATTCTTTGTTTATTTTCTGAAAATATCTTATTTGATAGAAGACAATAAAGCAACTGATGAAGGTGACAGGAGACGCCAAAACATGTCAGCAATAGTAAACAAAAACAAGCTCTATTTGATTAGTACATAATGAAGAACTATAAAAAAAATTAAAGGAAAGCAAATGATTACATTTAGGGGAAACATAAATAAAAATTTCAAACATTAGAAATAGTTTTTGATTATTTGAAGCTGTTGGTTGGTTGGTTTTGTGAAGCTGTTGCCAGCAGTAGCTAAATATTGGATGTGCCAAAGTTGAAGGATTATGTAAAAAAATAATTATGGCAGGAAAAAATTCTGCTTGGAACAAAGATTGTAAGCAAGGGGAATTTATCGCTTATGCACAATTATTCAATGAATTGCTGATTTGTGCATGTGATTACTGGCTCACAATTAAATATAAAATTCCCTTATTTATGTGTTTTGGTGTGAGAAAAATTAAGGGATTGTCCCAAATCAGGGGCAATAAGTCACAGTCTTTAGCTCTGCTCAACTTTAATTGAACATTTAGACTCTAAATAGATTGGCCGTGTCTCTTGCTTCTAATCAACGATGTTTCCATGATTTCCTGGAGCCTGATGATCTAATCATCATTAGACGGATCATTGCCGTTATCAGGTTACAACACAGCCACCATTAAAGAGACATCTGAAGTAGTTTGGCAAAAATGTACCACGTTTTAGAGATAGTACCTGTGTGAGATTCATGTCTGTTCAGTAACTGGAGCAAACACATGTCACAACTAACCAGTGTTTCGGGAGGGAGGGGGGGGGGGGGGGGGGGTCCTTAGGATGGCTAGGGTAGTGATGTCTAGTCGTAATACTCAAGAGCAACTATCCTGCCTGTTTTAGATGTTTTTCTGTATCAGCACCTGATCTGGGGATCAACGTTCCTCTGCAGAACTTGAGGACGTGAAGAAAAGATAACCAAACCATGGACTCAATGGTTTTATTTTATCATTTGATTTGTATGTGCCTGTTTGTTCGTTTGTCTATCTTTTGGTAGCATGCCATGTTAGATTTTGTACTTGTTTATGAGTGGGCTAAAAATAAACACGTTTAAATCAGAGGCATTGGAGCATGGATAAACAACAACATGCAGGAATGCAGCCCACAGGGACCCGGACTGGACCCCGCAGTTATCCTTTTAACGTGTGGACAGTGGACGAATGAGTGTTTTAATGTGAAAGTGAACAAAAATTGTTAAAGGTAAAATAAATAAATCTACAATGAAAAATAATTACTTAACTTATGCTAATTAGCATTTGGCTAATTGCAACAAACCGTAAAAAGGGTAAATGGCCTGTGTTTGACATAATGCATTCAAGGGTCCTACAACCCCCCAAGGTGATGTACAACACACCCAGTCATTCACCCACACACACGCACATATACACACACTGGTGGTGATGAACTGCAGTGTAGCCACAGCTGCCCTGGGGCGCACCAACAGTAACAAGGCTGCCGAACACATGCGCTACCGGTCCCTCCAACCACCACCAGCAGGCAAGGCAGGTTAAGCGTCCTTGTCTAAGGGAATGACTATTGGGGCTTGAACCTACTTCCGGTTATTGAGCAGGCACGTAACTCATCTGCCATCGTCACCCTGTGTTTGCCGTCAGTTAAATTTACATAAAATCCAGTCTCAAAATGTGATTTTCTTACGTTTTTCGATTTTGATGGAAAAAGAAACGACAAAAATCAGTAGGTGGTTACCAGCATATGTTGTGTGGTGCTGGTATGCTAGTTCCCAGTCTACTCACCAGTATCCCATGCTGGACCAGCATACCAGCACCAAAACACAGCATATGCTGGTTTTACCTGTAGGGGATCTGCAGAGTGCTCTCCTAACCCACCTAACCCTAACCTTTTCACTCAGGAGCAAATTGGGACACAGCAAAGACCCCCAAGTCTGTTCAAGTAAACAAATATCTCTGTTCACTTGTTAAAGGTCTGTTCTATTTTGTGGGAGCACATTTAAACCACTACTCTTTGTGACTTTAAACAAAGGGCCAGTAGGATCATTCCAAGACTAGGTGAACAGAAATAAATGGGATTGCTTCTAAATCTATTTGAGGTCTCGCTGTGAGGATACCACATTGAGCCAGAAAGGGGCAGAGAGAAAAACGATGGCCTGCCCACCGCTGACCTAGAAGAGCAGCTGGGATCCACTAAAGACTGCAGAAATTAGGTCACACAGCAATAATGAAGATGGACTCTGTATGTTTGAGAAGAGAAAATTCATAATTCCCTGAAGTAATTTAAATTTTGGCCCAACACTATTTAATAAGTGGCCTAAAGCACCACTGATGACCAGAAAACTTGTTTTATCCTTGTCGTAAATGCTCGTGCTGAAATGGGTGGGTTCTTTTTCGACACCATGACAGAATGGAACATAGTGATGTCTTTCACTCTGTTCAGCTGTTTGAGAGGATGATGAACTTCTATGTGATGGCTCATTCCTCTTACTCAGATGTTAAATTCACACTTTGTCAGTTTGAGTTATTTCTAGTGTCTGCAGTGGAGTGTAAAAAGCAGGAAAAGTAAACACCAACTGTTGTTGTTCACAAAGAAAAAACAGAAAGGTTTTATTTGTGACATTCCAATTTGTTCATCGCTTTTTACTTCTTAGCGTGCTAAAAATAACATGTTCATTATACGGCTCTTTTAGAGATTGATTAAAAATGCTGCAAAAATCAGATGACACGATTAAAAAAGCAGTGCCTTGAGTAAAGAACACATTAAATAGCACTGAAATGAATCCTGTGCAGAAGCGAGCTAGTTTCACTTGGCTGCAGGAATATTTTCTGAGATTTCTCTGTTCGAGGCTGTTCAGGTTCAAAGAACTTTCCACCAAATAAACAGTCTTCCCTCCTACAGATCCCAGCGGCATCAGATCAGACTGCAATTGATACCTGCAAGGCGAAGACTGCACCGCTTGAGGTAGAAACTCGTCCTCGCTGTCAGCACCTCCATCACATCGCCTCTGAAAAGCAGCTCAATCAGTGCATTTGTCTCCGTATCACGCTGTTTCTCATCACCATCATGCTCAGCGCTAAAACCTTCCATTTCTGTTCCTGTGTATTTTTTCCATTATGATCCATTTAGCTATAAATCGAATAATGAAATTGTACAGAGGATTTAAAAGAGGTTTATTTGTGTAGATGACGTTACGCAAGAGATTGCTCCCCCTCCGAACAACAGACCAAAACGTCACGTTCAGTGAGGAGTTAATCGTGAAATAATTCCATCGAGAGAAGAAGAGATTCAGAAATTCACCAGCCTACCTTGATGCTCTGGGTGTTTAAATCCTCAGAAACCTGCTGAAAACTGCTGTTCAGGGTGCTGCTTGTCTTTGCAAAAAAAATCATTTTCTTACTTTTATTTAATTCAAAATTTATAAAATAAACACAAGCAAATACAGTACATAAACATATGAAGATGATGATGATTATGTATGTAGTTGGCAGATGAATTTATCCAAATAAACTTACAAATGAGTATTTACGGTATTTGACAGCTACTGATACTGAAAAAGATGTTTAATGGTGCAGAAAAAAGCATTTGGTAACATTGGTTGGTTGGCAATGACAGGGGTCAGATGTTTCCTGCACGTCTTCAGTAGGTTTGCACACCCTGTAGCTGCCATGTTGCCCCATTCTTGCAAATGAATTCAAAATTACAAATAAGAGAATAGCCTTAACAAAACGTCACAATAAAACACAGATTTCTAAACAAAATCTTAAACAGTTAGTCTCACCATACTTTGAAACACCCATAAATCAACTGTGAAACTGCAAGTACTGCAAAACCTTCTCTAAGCTATAGAAATGCTCACACCTCAAGTGTCTGTGTTCTCTGTAGAAGTGGGTGAGTTTGTTGTAGTGTCGCCTGGAGGAGCATTGTTTCATTATTCATACAGTTTCGCTCCTCTGTATTCCCCTATATGTGTGAACTGCTTCTGTGTGGCTGTCCTTACTGTAGATGAATAATCGAAGGAAGCACTATAGGAAACAATGTGACTGATATTTGCTGCTGCCTGATGTGTTTAGTGCATCTTATTAATTTTAAAGACCAGGTTAACTGAGAAACCTTTTTTTTTTACTTATTATTTTTGAAAATGATCACTCTGAGGTTAAAGGTGCATTCTGAAAAGATATAGAGTGAATTTTACAGTGACAAAATTCCAAAAGAGTCTAATGTTTCCGTCATTTTGGAAGGAAGGTTATATTGAAACATTTTTCATATCCAGCTGGCTGTGGGGATTTTCAGTTTTTCTCCTTTTAAAACAAGCAATCAATAGTTTCTGATGAATGTACCTGCTTCTGATTACTTAAAGACTGTTTTAAACAATGCGATACACCGCCACAGGCTAAACTCTCCCAGAGTTACCACAAGGACCAATTTGGTGTGCCACCCCAAAACTTTCTTTGGCCCCGTCTGGCCACCCCTATCAAAATTTTCTGGAGGCACCCCTGTCAGTGAGTGTGCATTTGCTGTGTCTCATGCAAACTAAAATACTGCAGTGCCGACAACTGTAATTTGACGACTGCCGGCAACAAGCTCCAATAACCAAAGTTTTCCACAGGGTGTAATTTTTACTTCGGTTCTACATAATGCATCTTTTAACATGCAGGCTGAATGTGGAAATGGTCTCCCACCCCTTTTTCCTGAGTTAGCTTCTGATTTAAAATAGTCAGAAAATACTCCGTTCAGGAAAGTATGACAGATCTATGTCATTCGGCCACTTGGTATTCATTGACTCACCCATCTTGTGACAGGGAGAGCTGTTGTTGGTTTAGTGTCCAAGAAACAGCAGAGAACGTCTCGGCTAGTAGCAGCTAACCATTTGTTTCTAGGATCATCAATTCCACAACACGGCAGATCTCCTTCAGGCGTGTGTTATTTGCAGAGATAAAACATCAAAGTTGCAGAGCAAACTGAATCAGTGGTAGAGTTGCGTTGCTGTTAACTAACCAGAGATGAGATGTGCAAAAATCAGGAAATAAGACTCCAAATGCTGCCATCTGTTGCTTCTGTCTCCTCCGACTGACTTTGCATCCTCTAACAGAAGCATTTGAGCTTTTTTTTTTGCCAGAGAAGGACTTACAAAGCATTCATTCCCACTAGAGGTCGTTGCAAATGTTTCACAAATATGAGTAAACTTATCCTTTAAAGGCTAATCTGTAATACTAACTATTGACACTGGTGATTGTCGCAGAGGCTAAGACAGATTTTTCGTTTGTTTTTTTCCGCACTTCAGCGGCTGTTGTGCTTTAGTATCACAGATTGATGTGCAATGTGTTACCCACACCACAGATGAAGATGAATACATCACCTTTAATGCTGTTTTCAGCCAGGAAGTTGAATCCACTCACCGTATGCACTGTACACCGCATGTAGTCAATGTCTCTAGAAAGTGACTGTGTCACAGCTATACCAAGAAGACAGCTACTCCTGCAGCCCTAGTCACTGGGACAGCTGTCACGCCAGTGCTGCAGCATTAATCACAGCTACAGTCTGTATGCGGCACGCAATGAGAGCAAACTTGTGATGCGCTCTACTGACCCTGGCATTAGCTCATGCTATCTGACATGATGTGTCATCAAGGTACACCCAAAGCATGGCACAGAGGAAACACAAAACCCAAAAGCATTCTTGCGTGACCTTGCAGGCCCAACTCTTGACAATTAACAGCTTTGGTTCTACATAAAAGGGCACTTTTGTACTTTGGAGGAAGTAGTCGTATTTATTACAGAACAACAAGCACCAGCATTCATTTAAAAGATTTTCAATGTTGAAGCAATATTTATCTTTGCTTGGTTTAGTGGTTCTCGTGTAAATTCAATTTATTAAAATGTGAGCAGTGAAGTCTTTGGATATTTCAAGAGTCTTTAAAACCGATATATGCAAATAACTGTCATGCTAATGGCGTCTAAGATTACCCAGCAGAATGTGATGAGCTAGAGAGATTCTCAAATGCTCATGTCGTCACATAGCACAAATAACAAAATCAACCCCATGGGCACAAACACAACTTTCATATGAGCATGTTTCAATAGACGAAAAAAAAAACTGAAAGTGCTGTAGTGTTTCTTGAGGATAAATTCTACATTTTAGTCTGTAAAGCAAAAAACCATTACTTATAAATACCTTCTATTCAGCCACCCATGCATCCATGGTAAGTGTTGAATGGACTTCTTAGAGCTCAACAACCCCCCATGGATCTTTACAGTAGTCATTAATCCATTCACACAATCACACACTGATGGTGATGAGGTACATTGTAACCACAGCTGCCCTGGGGCTCACAGCTTGTAATTAACAGGCTTCTGCTGAGCTTAATGTGCTGCTGCACAGGTGATTCAGTCACTGAATCAAGTGTGTTGGAGCAGAGGAACAACTAAAACGTGCAGGATACAGGCCCTCCAGGCTCGGAATTGAATAAATAAGAATATTGCACTTGTTGGACTTGGAAAAAAATGGAGCTGACATGCCCGGTGCTGCAGTCTGCTTTTCGCACAATTTCTGCATGTTTTAGAGCGGGAACACAGCTGATTTGTTTGATTTAGTGATGAATTGACATTCGTATTAGTACATTTGGGACTAAACTGATCGTTATTATTCTAATCACAAGTTTTGTTAAATCTTATCCCAACCTTCTAAATGCTTTTTAACTGGTTGATATATTATATTTGAATCTTTATTTAAGCAATGAAACCAGTATTCCCATGAGAAGGCAGCAGACAGGAAGCAACTAAATCACTCCACCTGGTTTCAGATTCACCTTAGAGGTTAGCAAGAATTAGCCTGCTGAACTTGGCCAACTGCATGCAGGAATGAACAGCAAATTCAAAATGTTTTCAGCTTTAGCTCCATCCACCTCAGCATAAATTTATCAGGAGTGCACACAGAGTCCAGAGCCTCACAGGGAACACAGGAAGAGGGAAGCAAATCCTACTTTAATCCTACATGACTCAATCAAATCTCACTGGAGGCCTTTCAGCAACAGAGACATTTTCTGTTCTCAAAGATAAAATTGTTCATTTGAGGGATGACTATTCAGCTTGTAATGACCGCTGTGTAATGTGGTTTGTGACTCTGGAGGAGTTTTGTCAAGTCTGGGAGAAAAAATAATAAGTTGCTCCCTTCTTTTGAATAATCTCAACATGGGATCTGCTGCACACTCATGGAGCTAATGGAGACTCTGAAGTTAATCTGAATAATTTTGATCATTTAAAGAACAGTCATGCATTCACTAATCTTTCTGAAGGATCAAATTCTAATGTATGCAAGGTCGCACCCACTCTTGTTCTCCATCTACAACCATGACTGCATCTTATCCCATTCGAGCAACGCCATAATTAAAGGTTAAATATGAAATATTTTAACCTAATGCTACATATATTTTTTTTAATATGTTTAGAAGTGTACAGAACAAAGGTTGTTTCCTTTAAAATCTACATTTAAATGAAAAAATAATAAAATGTTTATTTTGACGGGCATAATACTGGGTTTATACTTACATCTACCTGCCAATAGAGGGCAGTGTTGCAGTAAAGAGCCCGCTCGACACAGCAAGGCTGGCACTGTGGAAAATGGCGGTTTTGGCAAGTCAAGCAGCTGCTTCTGAACCCAGAAGATGTTCTAACGATAAATACTGCTGTAAAATAAACTTAGTAAAAATTAGTCCTTCCGCTGTACGATTCATCACTGGACAGGGTGCTGTCTGGTCACTTCACCTATCGGCAGTGAACCTGAAATCTTGATGGCTAGAAACCTTATTCTGTTGTTGCTACTACAACCTCTAAACACTAGATGTTTCTATGGTGTTCATGTTCCATATTTAACCTTTGAATACGCTGATGACACCATTTTGCTGGGGCGAGGTCTGCTGCTTGGTAGAACGGTGTGGTAAAAACAACCTGATTCTTAAAGTGACA